GGGGTCGGATGCAGCATACTTGGGACTTCTCTCTGAAATACGAGCCGGTCCAAGGAAGAACTCGGGCATCCCGATCTTCTCGGATGACTCACTCGAAGTGCTCGACAAGATCCGAGACCTAGACGGTGGGAAACACCCTCCGAGCCAAGTGCATACTCCTTCAGACCGGGTTATTTGCTCTCAACCTTCGTTCCATGTAGGTTTCCGCACACCGTTATCTGCCTGACAAATGACGAAGGAGACGACTACAACGCGGAACGACTGGCGGATTCACCAGGCGAAGAAATTGTCGTCGAGACAATTGATACTGATGGCCCTATGCCCGCCAACTTGGATGCGCGAGCCATTGCCGAAGTAGGCTTCAGAGAGACAGTAGTCTTGAAAGTCGCCTGTCCTGTTATCGCGACGTCGAACGATATACGTGGTCGGTACTCTAACGGCTTGGTTGGAATGGTGGAGCGAATCACGCAGTCGCCTAAAGGGAGAGAAGCTCTCTGGGTGAAGTTCAAAGGGCACGGCTCATCAGTATCAGTTGGCAGAGAGGAGTTCACTGTCCATGATATAGATGGCTCTATTTTGTTTGCTCGACGACAAGTTCCTCTAACGTTGGCCTTTGCCACTACTGCCCATCGCTCCATGGGGCTAACGTTAGAGGGAGTTTCGGTACGATTGCCCTGCAATAAAGATCGTGCTGAAAAGAGAAGCTACCTACAAGACCGCCTCTGGGAACAGAGCTGGCTCACCGGATGTATGTATACAATATTGTCTCGAGTTGGGGTGTCAACTGCCATTCGGGTTTTCCCGCTGCGAAAGCCCGGGAAACAGTCTCGAGATAACTCGATCTTCCATATGGATCAGGAGGCATTGCAGTTTGATAGCCAATGCAATGCGAATAACTGGCTGGATCGAGTATAAGAAGAGTCGGCCGCTGAGCCTGCTCAAGAGCAATCATCATCGCGTGATACGGAAAAACATCAAACCCCCTCCACCGATGACAAGCTCACCGAGTTCGGTCATCAATTTGGCAATCTCCGGTCGCAGATTCGATGCAGATGCAGAGTCTGCATCAGTCTCCACGAGAAGAAAAAGTAAGGGTCGAGGCTAGACCGCTCAGTTGATAGCCACAGGCACTGGGAGGCTGTCTGATTATCTGACTCGGATAGACTCCATCAGCGAGATACTGAATATCCGCGCACGACCTTGCTGTTCGCCCGAGGCGAATCGCTTTGCTGTGGCACGCTGCCAATTGCGGCGACAGCCAGATATTCTGCAGATGCCGATTCCCCGGGTCGGAAGGATGGTATTCCCCGGGTTCGGTCAGATTGCGCGTTTGCCTCGAGCCTCGACGAACCCTCGAGATTGTTCTTCGGTAATTCAGAAGAAGATTATCCAAATACT